CAGAAATTATATATTCATTATATTAAAACCATCTGTATTTGAAAAATATTATCTTAGGCAATAAAAACAAATGTAGCATCAATTAAATAAAATAATTTAAACTAAAAACAAATAACCCAAAATTTATTCTTTTTTTCCCAAAATTATTCGTAAGAGAGAAAAGTCGCCTGTCTTGCAATGTCTGAGGTGTCCCTGCTGCAAACCTGAATCAAACCTGGGGGTGCCCTGGTGCCCTGAGCCCTCACAGTTTAACCTGCTTTCTTCCTCAGGCAACTGATGATTCCAGGATCCCTGATACTCTTGGGCCTCTGCCCAGAGCTGCATGTGGAAAAACCAGGTTCTCTTCAGGAAAGCTGGAATTTAAACTCTGCTTGAGCCAAGGTTGTCAATGGTGACCATTTTCTTAGCTCACAGAGCTGTCAGTTGGCAGAGCTGACAGCCAACTTCTTTGGGCTTGGCTCCTCATGACTGATAATCTGTCTTTGATGAAGGAAGTAGTTCTTTCTGCCATCTTCTGATGTAAATGGCTGATATTTTTGTATACTTTGGGGAGCGTCCTCTTTTTCCCCGAGAAAATACCCGCCGTGATTGATTTTCTATGAAGATGCATGACATTCTTGATGTAGCTCAAGAAGTTTCAGCTGAAACGTTTTTGAAGCTCATTTTCAAAGTATAAATTTTTACTTGTTCATATGCTTGTTCAGGCTGGAAACGTTTTATCTGACCCATCAGCTCTTTATTCATTTGATTTCCTTTACATAATTTAAAATGTGCCTTCATTTTACTCCTTTAGGTCAAGGATCAGGGGCTGGGTGCCTTCATTGTGAACCCTGCTGACTTTCATGGTGACTGCTTAGTCTGCCTCATTCTTTTTTTTTTTTAATTTTTTAATTTTTTAAAGAGAGAGAGAGATAGAGAGAAAGAATTTTAATATTTATTTTTTAGTTTTCGGCAGACACAACATCTTTGTTTGTATGTGGTGCTGAAGATAGAACCCGGTCTGCAAGCATGCCAGGCGAGCACACTAAAGCTTGAGCCACATCCCCAGCCCTAGTCTGCCTCATTCTTACCTTACGTTATTAGAGGTGGTCTTCTCAATGACTGACTGTTGCTCATGCTGAATGTTCTGCTTCGAATAGTTTTTTGTGAGTCTTGCATAAAAAATGAATTCCTGTTCTTCTTCTAAGTATACCTTGAAAATGGTCACAGTGTCCTTTGACCTCTATGATCCTGTCTCCACAAATACCCAACACACTCTAGTTTCCCCATGTAAGCACCCTTAGCCCTCTGTATATTGGTCATTAATCCAATATATTCACTTACCTACTTATGCCACTCACCTATCATCCCAAATCATGAGTTCCTCAGAGAAATGGATATTATTTTTAATCTCCAGAACTGACCTGTGTCTGATACCTATTGTGCACTTGATAAAAGTTGCATTAGTGGATATTTTTTAAAATTTACCAGTCTCATGATTAGCAAATTAAATATGATTCAGTAGGACATTATTTTGTACTTTCTGTATAAATAGATTTCTAGCTTAAAAGAAAAAAAGTAGCTATTTTTAAATTTGAAATTGTGCCAAGACATAAAAAACAACAGAAAACAGCTATGTACATCTCAGGGCAACCTGATGGATTAATTACAATTTATTTTGGATTCAATTATGCCATGTTAAATAGTCTACAGCACCACAAACAACATTAAATGAAGATTTTATGTGCATTTATATTGACTTCTTTATTTAATCAGGGCAATAATTTTATAGGAAAATGAGAATTTTGTTTGACTTTCTACATGATAAATATTCCCCCTGTAAGTTACAATAAAAAAAATCCATCCACAAGAGATTGCCAAATTGTCCTGGATGACATAAGAAATCTCTTACTAAGCTTAAACAAATAACTTAAACCCCACATATTTATTTTACTCCCATGATTCTGAGCCACCATCCTGAGATTTTACTGGATGACACCATGTCATTTCAATAGGTCAGGACATGTATATGATACTGGAAGTTTTGGGTTCTGTTTATACAAATTAGCCCAAAATACATAAGTTGCCACACCCAATTCATTTTTCATAGTTCTGCTAAGAAGAAAGTGGTTTTTGAATTGAAAGACGAGCCTGTGCTGATTTTTCTGAGCCTCTTAATTTTTGCTTTGAAATAACAAAAGCTTCCCAGACCTTCCTCTGTTTCCGTGATTTAGTCAAGGTTTTCAAAGCACTTTAGGAGCACAAAGCCAATCTACATTTGTTCCCTAGCTCAGGTGTGGATAGATCCAACTTTTGCTGAATGAAGAAGAAACCAAGAAAGCACCAAGGCTGTTAAGCCTCTCAAGTGCTTCAGGATAGGAAATTGAGAAATTAAAAAGTAAGACCTCCTTCCTTGGAGTTTTATGGGTTGTGACTTTATTTTATTTAGTTATGCAAAGTGATCTGGTGATTGTTCAAGATTAAAAGGACAAAAGCTAATTTCACAATGAAATTCAAAGTTCCAGTTTTTGAGCAAATCTATGAGAATTTCTTGTCATTGGACAGAAGGATTCTTTTTCCAGGGCTCTATTTCTCTCCTGTTTGATTTTACTGCTAACGACTTTGGATTCTCTTTCTACTGAGAGATGTCTTGTTTACTTTCATCAGGGCTGGGCAGAATCTAGGCAAAAGGAGAGGAACCAGGTGTTCAGCAAAGTTCCATGTGATTGCTCTATATTTTTTGTCTTTTTTTGCATTGTGGGGGGAACGTTTATTTATTTTCTGGTTATCTCTGAAGATCTTCCCAGTAAAACTTTTGCCATAGAGAATGATTTCAGGTCCCTATTTACATTCCCACTTTAAAACACAGATTCAACGACTATGGAAGTACAACGATTTTTTAAGTTTGATACATTCGATGTAATTTTACAATGATGGTGTACATGAGAGATAGAGTTGGGAATAATAAGGAATCATTTTGAATTAATGAAGAAAACGTGTATTGCTCTTTAAAAATGTTGTCTTCTCCATTTAAAGGACAGAAATTACTTACTTTATCCTATTTTAAAACAAAACAAAACAAAATCTTTGCTTTTATTGGTGACAGTAACTTATGTGTTCTGTTTCATTGACAGAGCGATCTCTTCGTGGACTTATAAAACACCCTACTGCAAGACCTGTTCTGCTAATACCAGGGATTAGTTTTATGTCTAAATCTTATTTTATTGAAATCCTGAATTTAATACCATGCAATAATTTGTACATGTCTATTAATTACCTGTTACAGAACATTATGCCCACATTGTACAAACTGGACACAGAAATATTCTGCATGTGAAATTTTCCTTCTAGGAATTTTGACTAAATTGATCTTTAGGAGAAAAACAAATGCTAAAGAAGTTGTGTGAAGCAGGTTCGCCCCGCCCACTGCATTTTGGGCTGCAGTTTCTACAACTGGCATGAATCTGGTGAGAAATAAACAATCACACAAGTTAAATGCAGCCACTTTAACTACTCACAGATAGGTAACAAAGAACAACAGATTCTTAGAATTTGAGGTAAGCTAGTCCCCCAAGGCTCAGGAAAGCTGCCCAGGGCAAATGGAGTCTTGTGTGCATTAGGCCCACATTGCACCATAGCTAAAGGACCTCAAGATCATACTGTGCTCTGGGCTTTATGACTGAGGGAAGTGGACTCACTGGGGTAGAGCATTGCAGGAAATCTTAATGTACAACAGATGGAACAGCTTGGGCTGCTCCTCCTTATTCTCAAATGTTGCATTGCTAACGCTTTCTACATTCTCAGTAGTTATTCCGAAAATGACAAGCAAGGAAAAGGGAGAAAGCTGGGTCACCAAGGGCACCAGGGGACTTGTTGAAAGTTGCTCAGCCAGGAGTCGATTTATAGAACAAATCTACAATTATATACTTCACGTTACAAATAAAAAATAATGAACATATAATAGACTTGAAAAGGCATTTACAGACGTTTTTATTTATAAGGAGATCCTTAATGTTGTTTGATTTATATTAAAAAATAAGCTGATAAAAATGTTGTTTGATTTATATTAAAAAAATAAGCTGATGAAAATATTTCTGGCTCAGTTTGTACAGTGTTCACCTAGCATGTGGAGGCACTGGGTTCCATCTTCAGCACCACATAAAAACAATAAGTAAAATAAAGGTATCGTGTCTGTCTACAACTAAAAATATATTTTTAAAAATTAATCCTTAAAGTATGTTTGCTTCTCTTTGGTCTACATTCATTTTTTAAGATCTACCAAATAGCAAGCACTCTCTGTGACTGGGTCAGGTGCTATCTTGAGTGCTGTCTATGTGACATTTTATTTAATCCTCATGATCCAAAGACAAGCACTCATGTTATCCCATTGTCACAGAGGAAAATATGAAGCCATTGAAACTGAAAGTGATTTGTCTACCACCCAATGAGGGCATGCCATTGCTTAGACTCAAATATAGCTTGAAAGACATTAGAACACTGCTTCCAAAAAGCTGCACGTAGTGATTCATTGGAGGTTCAAGAAACCAGTTTGGAGAGTCACTATCAGCATTAAAAAAAAAAAGAAGAACAACAACAACAACAAAATAAAATTAAATAGAATAAAAAGTACTGAAAATAGACCAGGGCACCACATATTTAAAAATTTGTTTTAAATATATAATCATACACATATTTGTGCACTGCTTCTTGACTTAAGAAAAAAGGTACCTTTCTTACTCTGGGTTGTGACTTTGAAATATGAAAAATAAGCTATGCTGATATCAAAAGCAACAGCAATCTGATTCTAAAGGGATGAACATTAAAGTTTAATTTTCAAAAGTTGTATATATGAATTATCCACAGAATGGAAGACATATGTTGGCCCACAGCTAAATATTCTATTCTCATTCTTAAAATCCAAGCTAAAAAGAGAAAAACGTATTATAAGAGTAACCTTCTTCTATCAGACCGATAGAACTCACAACAAAAATAGAACAGAGAGAACCCACAACAACAAAAAATAACGTAAACACAAAATCTCATTTATTTTTTTCCGAAGCACAAAGGAGATCACTCAGCACAATAACAATAAGCAAATCATACAAATACTGTGGGGAAAACTGTCCCCATGACTACATATATATTTATATATATTCTTAAGAGCAGTGATCAGGAGTTTAACAACAAGGTAAAGTGGTTTTCACTGAAGAATGCTTTCTGACAGGCTTCTAGATAGGAAAGGGACAGGCAAATCACTTCCATATAACAAGTGAGCTAAGAATGACGTCTGTTACCCAAGCCACTTGAACTCCATGGACTGTGAAAGCCTTTTTCAAATTTGTATTTAATTTCATCAATGGCCTGCTTTATGTTTGCATTTCCCTAAATTTGAACTAGATCCACAAACCAACCCCTCAGCCCTCTGTTTTCTCACACTCCAGACTATTGGAGGGAGAAGGGGATGAGGTTGGGTGTGAAACAGTCAGAATGATCAATGTCAGGATTTTCTAACAGTGTCCTTTCTTTTCCAGTCTATGGATACATCTTTAATACCTTTTTGTGTATTTCCTTGATGTCTTCAGGAACATTATAAAGTCTGAGGTCCAAAGTTGTACCTAAAGTAGCTACTAGATCTAAAATTGCAAACATCTCCCATAAGTCTTACAAATAATAATAAAAAATAAAAAACCCAACCCAACCAAAAAATTATTAAACTCATAACAATTCCTACAATTTAAAAGTAACTTCAAGTCATTGCCCATAACACACTTCTTAGTCCACCTCTTAATGCCCAAGAATACTCTTTTTTAAGTGTGTGAGTGTTTCCAGCAGCAACATCCACTTTTAAAAAATGGACAACAATAAAAAGATGTTCAATAGGTTCCAGAAGCATCCATTTCTGGATATCTTCCATGTGTAGCACAAGGTAGAAACGATACAATGTGCTTTGGAGTTTTCCTTAAAAGCTTTCCATACGGCTGGTTCTAGGGTGAAGGGCTTTAAAAATAGGAAAAGTCTGGTAGGGAGTGAAGATTCAAAATCCTTTGCTAGATCTCGCACCCATTATGCTTCCTACGATCTCAGTTGCCAATAGGGATATTCAAGGGCACACTTCAAAATCAGCCAAGCATACAGGGAAGTATTTTCTACCATTTCCCTTCCTTTAATTTGCAGACTTCTCACTAGAAAAGAGAAATTCAGTGGGGTTCAATGCTCACAGCATCAACTTAGAAAAATCTCCTGGCACAACAGGAAACCCTGTTGGATTGTAAAACCTTTGACAATTCAATTAGAAAAACAGCAAAAAGGAGTAGCAACCTCCTTGGTCTCAGTTGATGGCTAGAACAATCTGTCACTTCCTAATTTTTTCTTTCACATGTTTCCCTCTCCTTTGAAGATCAAATTTACCTCAGCTGATTCTCCTACTTTTTGTTTTGGTTGCACAGATATTTTGTAAATGTATGATAGAAGACGCTTTTACCTTTTAAAATATATTTCATGGAATAGACCATGAAAATGGGGCAAATGGTACAGGATTGGGCTGGGGGACATCAAGCTTTTAGTTCTTTCTTTCCTGTCAGAGAGCAAACCATTCCAACATAAAGGGACAAACAGGACTGGCTTGGAAGAGTGCCTCTCCACAATTCAGAAAGTCAACTCACATTAGGCAAAGGCAACATTCCAAAGTGCAAAACATCTGGCCCCATGTATGGCTAAGGCCTGAAGTACTGAAGAAAAGCATATGTAACATTCAGGAACATTGCACTCAGGGAAATAAAACACATAAGTTATAAGGGATGCAGAGATCCAAGTCCATGTAAACATTTCAACACATTCTATTTTACTAGAAAATTTATTCAGGTCTTAAGAATACTACCAGGGCTAAGTTGTATATTCGACAGAATGGTTGCATGTGGCCACTGTTCCTGCTTCTGATACTATTATATTACTGTTTGTGAATCCTGAATCTATATGAAAACCGACTTCAACATCAAAATGTACACCCTTAAATTAAAATGTAGGATCTTGCAAAGGCTGGAAGCAGCTCTCCACTATTAGAAGGACTTTCACTTCATCTGAGTTCCTAAGCCCACATTATGTAATCAAGTTTCCTTGGCAGAGACTGAGTGAGCACGGAGCATCTGCCAACATTATAGAGAAATGGGGATAAGTTTTGTGGAACATCTTTGATGTTGCTCAGGAATCAGAAATACTAGAAATACACACAGAGAGTAGTAATTGGATTTACTGAGTTACTTAATATCCCACAAAACAAACTTTTTGTTAATAAGACCAAGAATTTGTTCCATGTTTAGATGTAGCATATATACAATTAAATCTAAAAGTTGAGGTTGGGTTGTGGCTGAGTGGTAGAGTGATTTCCTAGCATGTGTGAGGCACTGGGTTTGATCCTCAACATCAAAAAAATAAAATAAAATAAACAAAATAAAGTTAAAAAAAATTTAACTCTAAAAGTGTTTCTACTACTGGGGGAAAAAACTGGGCAAATTACTGCTGAAATAAGATGAATATGTAAAAGTAATATTTATACTATAGAAAAATCATGTTCTTAGTTTTGTAGGTATGGAATTAGTTATATAAAGTTTTCTAATGCAAGGTAGTATGAAGGAGTCACACTGGAGCCCCAGGAATGAATGTCATGTTGAGAAATCTGTTCCCTTTCCTGGTTTATTTATAATACTTGGAATAAATTAATAAAAATATAGGTTTTAAATAAGACTCAGTAATTTTAAGGTTTTATCATAAGATTACAATTTGTTTTAATTCTGAGTTTGGGGAAAGGACACTGTATAATTAGGAAGCATATAATGCTCTTCACTTTGTTTAATATTCCTAGATGCCTAGTATAATGAGCTCCTGTTCATAGAAACCTTACGTGGGACATCTACACATTTTTCATTATCATAAAGTTCTAATGTCCTGAAAATTATAAGTAATCAAATGGATAATTGGATTAAGATTAGAAAATGGAGTGTTTTCAATATGTAGGGTTTTTAAATTTTTTTAATAATATTTCTTTAATGAGATTTGTCCTTCATTTTAAAATTCTAGCCGACTGACATCTGAGTATAAAATTTTCAGCAACTGTGGGATATGGTTGGGTAAAATAGGCCATTGCAAAGGGATCTGTCCTAATAGTATCAATAGCTCATGGATACCCAGTACTTGCCCCGATTTATTAAAAATTCCATTCTACACAACAATGGTGTATGGAATTTGTTTCTCTTCTAATAAAATGGAAGCAATGATAACATCACACAGTTATAAATTAAGATGATTTTAAAGTGCACCAAAATACAGTTATTTATGCCATGTAGTTATATAATATTCCTAAGAGACTTTAAATCTTTAATACTTAACTTCTGCCAAACACTTTGAAGCACAGAACTATATTTAAAAAGCATATGGCATTCAATTCCTGACATCCATCCCCAAAAGAAGGCAAAGCACAACAAGAACACATCTGTGAAGTGCAGATTCCATTAAGTGCAAATTTCCAAAACACAAGGTCAATCTAGAAACACATTTTAAAATTCAGTAAGTTTATGCTCAGCATATAATTTTCAAACACAATCTGAAGTGATTTTTTCCAACATTTGTTCACTGTCTAATTTTTGTTCCCTCATAAAAATATGGTCACTGGTTAATTTTTAGTTCCGTAATTTTCATACTCGTTAGCTCAAAATATCTAACCTTATAGGAATATCTTTGCTCTCCACGTTTCCACATAGGAAAAAGATTTCACTTCAATCTCATAATAGACATACGGCCAGCAATAATGTCCCCTTCTGTTTGAGCTTGAAGTAAATCTGAACAGCTCTAAAAGGAGACATTTTCATGAAATTATGAAACTTCCCAACCAGAGTTGGGAATTACTGCACTTCCTTCAAGCAGTTTACCAAGTGAATACTGTAACTAGACACAGAAAGAGATAGTCATCCCAAGAACAAGGTACTGATTGTGACTTTCCAACCACGCCTGAGCACAAAGGAGATGCAGAGCCATGTCATCCCAGGAAACTTCTTACACTGAGCTGGAAAATGGAACCACCTGCTTGCCACCCACATAAACCTCCTCAATATTTCGATCATCTCCTGAAAGAAAAATCAAAGAATCAATTTATAAAGTGGTTTGTGTCAATAATTATTTTAATTGCCATGGAGAGATTTAAAACAAAATATTTGCAAGAAAGGAAACACAAAAAAGCTGATTTCTCGACAAAATCATAGAATTTGGAGGGAAATGGATGGCATTAGAGCAGATTATGCTAAGTGAAGCTAG